TATCCACCACCACAATGTCCGGTTGGTTCGCCATTACCATCTATATATATATTCCGGTTTACGATTCTCAATAAAGTGGATGGCTGATGGATGGATGGATTTTTATCTCTATGTCATTTAAATATATTATTTCCTGGAAACATATTTATTAAGGTCATATAAAAATTATAAAACTAGATGGAACGAAAAGTATAATAAAACTTTGATCAAAATAAAAATGAATCAAATATGAAGAATCGTTTGTTTATGGATCATTTTTATAGTAAAAGTTTCTTTAAAACGTATCAAAATCAAACAACAGACAGGATACCCCGTTTGAGCTGCTGCGGCTCTGGAATGAATTGTTTCAAAATAAAAGCTTTTCCGGTCAGATCTAATTCTTTAGATATTCGGTTTATGGAGAAAACGGGTGAAACGGTCAGTAAATCTCATCCCTGCAGAGAGCGGCTTCATTCCCACCTGAACCCAGATGCGCCAGGTCAGAACTGGCTCACCGGAAGTTATTTATGACTCAGAACCTTCTGGGAAAAAGTTTTTATTATCCAGAAAATCCAGAAACAGTTTTAGTTCCGTTGTTGCATCAGTGTTTCAGCAACCCGAACCTGAGATTTGGACCCAACTCCAGCTTTAGTTCATGCTACTGCTAACCGAACTTTCTGCCGTTTTCTCTTTAGACTCTGACCAGAACAAGCAGAACCTGACACGGGATTTCTCAGAACCCCAAGGTGTTCTTCAGGTTGTGTCTGGACCTGCAGCAGAACAGAACCGGTTCTTCCAGAACCAGCCTGAACAGAGCCGTTCTGTTCCCGTCAGGCAGGACAGAGCGAAGAATATTTCCTGGTTCTGATCACCTTGACCCTGTTTTGTGTTTCATCACATGAAAAGCTGCCTCAGTGCAGATGAAATGATTCGCTATCAGAAACATGTCAGGTTTGCAGGCGGGCCGAACCAGAACCAGAATCATTTTCTTCATAAAAACTTGATTTTCTGTTGCTGGAAAAAATGTGTTGCTGAGGCTCCCGAACTGGTTCTAATCCAAATCATAGTTGGTTCTTTGGCAGCCTTTCCAGTTTCTTCTGGTTAAGAATCTGGTCTCAACAGAACCAAATGTTCTGGATGGTCCAGATTTCTGCTTCTATGTGAGCAGAGAAGCAGAACTCATGTTAGGTTCTAAACCACCAACAGTTTGGATCTGGATCAGAACCGTGTCTGGATGCTTGTTCTGAACACAGAACCGGTGTGGTCCCACTGAAACCAGTAGGGGGAGCTCTTCTCTTTGGCTCCGCAGTTAGAACAATCGACTCACTGACCCAGCAGAACCAAGGTTCTGGTCCAACCTCACCTGATCAAGGTCAGCTCTAATCCGTGTTCTGCCCTGTAGCCTCTGAGCTGGAACCAGCAGCTGGATCTGGTGTCGGATCAGAACCAAACTGTCTTGTCTGGCCGTTTGGATCCTCTTCTGGTTTAGCTCAGTACCAGGTGAGATAATCCACATCAGGCTGTCCATGGTCTGGAAGGCTTTGAAAGATCCAAAAGAACTTCCAGAACCTCTCAACACCACCAGATCAGGCTGTTCCTGTACAGTCGGTCTACTTCCTGTCATTTTATGCCCATCACCTCCTTTCTCTCTGTATTTGCAGGTTTTCTTTTTGCTGGAGTCAGAAAATAAAAATATGAGAAAAGATGTAAATAAATAAAAACTGTCATAACTCTGAGCTGCTTTATAAAAGATTTATTCAGGCACAACATCAGTCAACAAACCCTACTGTCCACCGTCTGAGCATGAAGTGCTGTGAAATCTCTGCAGCTGTTCTTGCTCTGACAGGAAGTGGTTTCATGTCTCCACGCCAAGCCGGCCTCAGCGGTTCCTCTGTCGTTAGTGACTGCAGCTGCTTTGCATCGTCAGGTCCCAGCAGAGGGACAGCTGGGCGGGCCAGATGTTAGACGTCCTACAGGAGTTAGCTTGAACTCACTGAGCTGAACTCTACAACACAGATCTAACATGGTTACGTCTATAAAACGGCTCTGGTTTAATAAAGCCAACATAAAACTTGTTTCTGCAGCAGGAGGACCCAGAGGAAAGGTTCCTGACAGAAAAGGCACAAAGAAGAAGTTTGAGCTGAAACACCCGAGAATCGTCCTGACCAATGAGAGAGCAGAGAATCTGTCCATCATCAAGCTGATAAAGAGCCTCCTCTTCCTCTTCAGGTGGGTCTACCTGCTCATCCAGGTGCTGCTGTCTACAAGCTGACCACCAGGGGGCAGCAGCTGTCTAACAATCATCATGATGCAGAAACATTAGCATCAGATCAGGGATCTGACAGGTTTAACATCTGCTGGGAAACATCATGGCCGCCATGTCCCGACCTCGCAGAGTCCTGCTATGGACGCTCCGTCCCCAGAGCCTCCTGTCGCCATCTGGACACTTTGTGTCTCTGTCTCTACACCTCCTCCTCATCTGCATGGAAGGACGTCCGTCTCAGATTTTCTCTGACTTTAACAAACTCTGGAGCTCTGAGGTTCTCCTCCTGCTGCTGCTCCTGCTGACGCTCCAGCTGTGGACAGAGGGACAGGCAGAGGGACAGGCAGAGGGACAGGCAGAGGGACAGGTAGAGGGACAGGGACTGTTTAGAGTCGGGTCAGCATGAGCCCGGTTGCTCCTCAGTGAACATCTGATCATTTCTGAACTGATTGACCCTTAACTGTCATGATGACCCTGAGTTCTCAATGGACTCATTTACTTACAAGTCAGTGTTTAGAAGGGTTCAGTTAAAGGGTTAATGGGCTCTGAACCTTGGTTCTGGTCCAAACAGAACCATAGGTTCTGGACCAGACCATTCACAGAATGTTCCAGATCTGCTGTAGCTTTCCTGGAGACTGAGGACGTTTTCAAATTCATGAAACATAATTTAATGTGCTGCGCCCCGGATACAGTTATCCTATGCTGGTGACCCTGGTTCAGTTAACCTGGTCCATCAGACTCGGTCTGGACCGGTCTAGTTATCGGGGTCTAGTCCACCACCTGAGTCCCGTCTGGTCCAATGAACCCAGTCCGTGTCAGTTTGCTCCAGCATGCCCTCACCTCCTCCAGCTTCATGTGTCTCTTGAGCAGCTCGGCCTCCAGCGGGGAAATCTTCCTGCGCGCTTCCTCTTCCTGTTTCCTCTGGCGGATCAGCTGATCCCGCTTCCTGGACTCCAGAACCCGCTGCAGCTCTGGCTTGGTCTCCATGCCGCTGCCCCCCCTGCAGGCACAGGGAGAAGGCACAGTTTGGATCACAAGGTTTTTATTTACATCAGCATCAGGCTGCTTTCTGATTGGCTGAATGGATCCCACTGAGTCTGTGGTTCGGTTCCCAGTGAGCTTCATGTTCCAGATTGGGTCAGGCGAACTCTGAACAGCAGCTCCGTGCGTGCTGCTTTGTTTCTGTGAGGAGGTGAAAACTTTCCCACAAGCCTCAAAAGACTGTTGCTTAGCAACAGCACTCACAAACAGCCTGAACAGAATGACAATAAAAACACCAGAGCCGCTCTCCGATTGGTTGGCTGCTGGCAGGTGAAGAGCAATCCAAGCCAATCAGCAGACTCCACCAGCCACATTCTGACCCGGTTGGTTCTGGTCCAACTTCCAGGCTTGCTGCATGTTCTATGTAACAGATATGGGCTATGCAGCTAACTGCGGCTAAAAGAGCAGCATCAGAAGATGGTTCTTTTAAGGAGCCTGAGGTGTGAATGAAAACAGAAAGCAATGGTTTTAGTTTTGGTGTATATATTAGTGATTTGAATAAAAACAGACAATTACAAATTCACAATGAGAGAAATTAACTCAATAAATCAATCCCAAGATCATAAAGTTCTTGTCCTTTCCTAGCTCGTCATCCTTAGATCCAGTAGAGCAGGGGTCCCCAAACTACGGCCCGGATCCGGCCCGCCTCCTCATTTGGTCCCCCCCGCCCCCCCGTTTCACAGTTTCACTCTCCA